GGACCACAGTCCTCCTACTTACACTTCCTACAGTAGCTGGGATGACAGGTGCTCACCACCATGCCTGAGATGGGGTCTAATGAATTTTTTGCCCAAGTTGGCCTCAAACCACAATCCTCTTGATCTCAGCCTCCCAAGTAGTTAGGATTATAGGCATGGGCCATCACTGCCCAACTTTTGGCTCTTTTAGTATTATCTTGTGATAACAGATGTTCTACATTTTAATGAATTCAGATTGATCAGTTTCCCTTATGGTGAGGACTTCCTAACTCCTATTCACTAACTCTCTCTCTCTCTCTCTCTCTCTCTCTCTGTCTCTCGGTACTGGGGCTTGAACTTAGGGCCTTCACCTTGAGCCACTCCACCAACCCTTTTTTTGTGGTGGGTATTTCTGAGATAGGGGCTCAAGAACTATTTCCCAGGGCTGGCTTCCAACCATGATCTTCCTGATTTCTGCCTCCTGAGTAGCTAGGACTACAGGCGTGAGCCACTGATGTCCATCTTCTGTCCCTATTCTTTTATGGTACTGGCTTTGAACTCAGGGACTCAAGCTTGCTAGGCAAGTGCTCTGCCACTGGAACCATGCCCTCAGCCCTTCAGGTAGAGTCTCACATCTTTTGCTCAGGCTGACCTGCACCACAGCCCTCCTGCTTTATGACTCTCATGTACCTGGGATGACAAGCATATGCCACCATGCCCACATTTTTTTATTGAGATGGGGTCTCATGAATGCCCAGCCTGCTGGGCTTGAACCATGATCCTCCTGATCTCTGCCTCCTGGGTAACCGGAATTACAGTCATGAGCATAGTGGTTCTTAACCTGCAAACCATGAAGACATTCTCCCATATCAACTTCTAAGAGCCTTATGAATTTCCCCTTCACGCTTCAACCTGTAATCTTCATGGATTAATTTGGAATGATGTGAAATGAGGATCAGATTTCATGTTTTCATATGAACATACATTATCTATCGCTAATTGCTTAACATTGTCATTTGCACACTACTCTAGGTTGACATGGACCCTTTCTCCATTTACTTAAATCTTGTACTTCTCTAATGACCCATCACCCTTCTGATCTCTACCTCCCTACTAGCTGGGATTACTAGGTATGAGGTACTGCACCCAGCCTGACAAACTCATTTATCAATCCCAACACATCTATAGTGTCTCTTTATATTTTATGTACATAATCATACCAATAAATAATGACAGGTTAGTTTCTTTTTTTCCCAAACCTTTTAAAAATGTTTCTGAACTCGCTAGGACCTTGCATTAATTTTCTGTTGCACCAAATGCTGCATAGCAAACTACCCCAAATTCAGAGACCTAAAACAGTAAGAGCTTCTAGAGTTTTTGGCTTGATATCCTTCATTTAGTTGAGAAAATTCTCAGCCTTTATCCCTTCTTCACATTGCTTTTACTTCTCTCTCCTCTTTCTGATACTCCAATGCCACACATTTGTTCCTTCTTACTCTACCCACTAGTGTTTTTTTCTTCAATTTTCATCATTTTATCTCTCTGTCCCCCATTCTGGAAATTTTCTCCTGGCTATATCTTCCAGGTCACTATTATTTCTTTAACTGTGTATAATCTACTTTTTAACTCATAGTGTCTTCATATTTGTCATTGTATTTTTTTAGTTCTAGAATTTTCATTTGCTTCTTTTTTTGCAATTTACAGTTCTCTGACAAATCTCAATCTTTGATTTCCTTGACCATAGACATATCTACTATGAATCTGAGACAGATGACCCAAATACTGGAGTCCCTACTGGTCCACTTCTATTATCCCTTGAATTCAGAAAACAAAAACAAAATTGCGGGCCAGCAGAGTGGCTCAAGTGGTAGAGTGCTTGCTACCAGGCACAAAGCCCTGAGTTCAGACCCCAGTACTCCCTCCTACAGTACTCACGCCTGTGATCCTAGCTACTCAGGGGGCAGAGATCAGGAAGATCGCAGTTCCAAGCCATCCCAGGCAAATAGTTTGGGAGAGCCTATCTCAAAAAACCCATCACAAAAAATGGGCTGGTGGAGTGACTCAAGGTGTGGGCCTCTGAGTTCAAGGCCCAGTACCGCACACACACACACAAATTGCTTTCCATTACATTATCGCGCCTCCTCGTGTGTTCTGTATTTTTAAGTCCTTTTTCTTATCAAAGTAAAAATTACAATAGTGGTGAGCGCCTGACTAGCAAGCACAAAGCCCTGCATTCAAACCCCAGTACTACCAAAAAAAAATTACAATATAATGAAGTACACAGATGTTAAGCGTATAGTCGGTAAATTAAGTATGCGTACACACACTCATGTGACCAAGATTCAGCAAGACCAAGATTTAGGACATGTCACCCCAGAAAGTTCCCTCATGCCTCTTCCTTAAAAGTTACACTCCCAGAAGCGATCATTGTTTTGACTTCTAAATTAGATTTGTTCATTCTTGAATTTCATATAGAATCATGCATCACTTAAGGCTACATTCTGAAAAAAACATTTTTAGATAGCTGCTGTGTGACCATTATAGAGTGTGCTTAACAAACCTAGAGGGTATAACCCACTACGTACATAGCTATGCATGGTACAACCTTCTCTTACATTTATTCATTTGCTTTTTAAACTTTTTGTTAAAAGTTGAAACATACACATTAGCCTAGACCTACGTAGGGTCTCCACTGAACGGTCTTGACACCCTTGTTGAAAATCAGTTGACTGTAAAGTGAAGGTTTAATCCTGCACTCTCCTCTGTTCTGTCCTGTTGGCTTGTGCCAGTACCGTGCTGCTGTGAGTGCTGTAACACTGGTGTAAGTTTTGAAAGCAGGAAGTTTGAGTCCCCCAACACTATTCCTTATCAAGTTTGTTTTGACTATTGTGGCCTTTAAATTTCCCTGTGAACTTTACCTTTAGCTTATCAATTTCTGCAAAGAAGTCAGCTATGACTTTGGCACGGATCTCGCAAACTACTTGCCAGGCAGGCTTTGAGTGCGAGCCTCCTGATCTCTGCCTCTTGAGTAGCTAGGATTACAGGCATGAGCCACTGGCACCTGGCTCCATTGAGTGTTTTTTTTATCATGGAGCATTATGTTTCTTGAATGCTCTTTCTAAATATATTCAGATGGTGATGTGGTTCTTGTCCTTTATTCAGTTCTATAGGTGTAATTATTACATTAATTGATTTTTCAGATGTTAAGCCAATCTTACCTTCCTGGGATAAATCACTTTGGTGGTAGTCTGTGCGTGCATGTGCTCTCACTATGGGTTGACAGCAGTTTTAGGAGGGCTATCTGTGTCTTTCTCTGATCACATGATGGCTTTTAGGGTCTGCTGATTACTGTTTTTGGCAATACTCAGAGGCATAAATTGTTGCATATCGCATTTGGGCCCCTTTAAAGGGAGAACTTTGTAGTCAGTGTTGGGGATTTGTTCCTACCCCAAGAGGATCTTCTCAGCTGTCTTTCCCTGATACCTTCTGGTGTCCCAGTTGCCCCCAATTAGCTTGTGTCTTTCAGGAAGCCATCAGCCTCCTCTTAGGTACTTTCCACCAGATCCTCCATGGTTTTTAAGTGTGGACTTAGGCTCGAACTCCCTCACTCTCTATCTCAAATAAAGTCAGTTATTTTGAAGAGAAACTCAGAACTCTGTGTTCTTAAGGCTTGCCTCTTTCCCTGGGCAAAATCTTCACAGGTGGGTGGGGACGGTGGTCTGCTTCTGTCTGAGAGACATGAGCAAGATGCTGGATGGGGCAGTAGCCCCTGTCTTCTGTTCTCATCAACTTGTGTCTCCCTGCATGTAGCCTCAGGCTCAGAAATGAGCTAGAGCCAGGGGAGAAGGGTCCAGGAATCTCAGTGTGCTGTGCCTTGAGATAGATCTGGGACTGGAGGCAGAACGAAGCTTTTGACATTTTTTTTAACCACATAGCCTAGAATTTAGCCTCTGCTACAAGCTGGAGAAGAATGAGAAATGCAGGTTGCCACCTGCATTCCTTCCTGGGAAGGAGCTGGGAGAGAGAGCTGGGAGCTGGGAGAGAGAGCCCTGCATCCCAGGGTGGACCATGGGCTAGGAGTAGGGAAGGAGGGAGCAGACTGTGGTTTACACACCACAGACTCAGTGTCCTTCCTGAGTTTTAGTAGATGCTCAGGAATAAATCTGCCCTCCTTTTCCTTATGCCCTTAGGACAATTTTCAGAGACCTTTTTCTCTGTAGTTTTAGCAAGTGTCTGTTAGGCAGTGGGTCCACAGAGCTCCTCGCACTGCCTTTTCAGAAATGAAACCCCGAGAAAGCTCTGTAATCCTACCAATCTCTGTACCCACCTCAGATTTACTGAGTCAGAATCTAGAGGAGTAAGGCTAGGAAAATGAAAGGCAGTGCTGTGTATGTTTTTAAGAGTTTCTCAAATGACTCGTGGGCAGCCAGGTTTTGGAGGCACTGGCCCAGAAGTCTATGCATTAGTTGAGCCTAAAAGTTTCTAAGTGGATCAGAAGGAAAAAGGGAAGAAACCTGAGCATCTCCAGTCTTTTCTGTGTCCTTGGTACTCAGTATCCATTATGTTACTTGTAAGTCTATCTCAGACTGGACTGATGTTAGATGCTACTCCAGTGTCCATGGCTGCCATCCATTCTGACTGGCCAGGGACCATACCATAGCAGTCGTTAAGAATTTTGAAATTAATCTCTGCTTGTAAGATGAGAAGAAATTGAGTCTCAGAGGGATACAATTATTTGCTTGTTAATAATTCACGGAGAAGGCTGGGAGTGCAGCTCAGTGGTGAAGTGCTTGCCTAGCATGTGCAAAGCCATAGTTTCCATCCCCAACACTGCAAAACAAACAAGCAAGCAAACAAAAACCCTCCTGGGGAGAAGGTACAAAATTTAAACTCTGGCCTTCATTTCTCTTAAACCCTTCTAAGGAAATTTTATACTCTAGTGTCTGAGACCTGTCCCTTAAAGTGTACTGTTCTTGGTGACCCCTCCCTCAGGTGTTAGCAGGGCTGTTAGGACAAACGCCATGGAATCCTTTCAGGACTTCTCTGATGAGACAGAGGAAGAGTCCACCAGGAAACTCCACACTGCCAATTCAAGGAATTGGAGCTTCAAGGCCAAGATTTGTGCCGCCAAGATGACAAACAACATCCTGAATACTAAAACCAATGAGAACATCTTGATCCAGGTGGCCTTCTCTGTTTGGCTGGGCAGTATATGGCATTTTCCTTACCTATGTCACCGGAATGGAGGAGGTAAGGCCAGGGGCCTGAGGCCTGATTTGAGGAAGAAGTTTAAAGACTGAGAGCATAGATTCCTGGGTCCTGGGGAGAAGGGAGCTGAAGTTGAGCGTGATGCTCCCTAGAGGAGAGGGGAAGGGGCAGGACTGCAGCTGCCTGAGCAGAGCCCCTGGCTCCCCTCCTCAGGCCCCTTTATCCTGGTATACTTCGTCATGCTGCTCTTGCTGGGGATTCCCCTCATGTACATGGAGGTGGTCATAGGCCACTGGCTGCAGGTGGACAATATCCGAGTCTGGAAGCAGCTCGTCTCCTGGCTAGGTGGTTTGGGCTACGCTAACATACTGGTAAATGAGAACTCCAGCCAAGAGGCTCCCTGTTCACCCCCATGGTCCTGTGTCTCCACCCTCCCCACCTCTTCGGCCCACCATGTTCGCCCTCAGGTAAGCATCTTGGTGAGCTTGTGTAACAGTGTCATCATCTCCTGGAGCCTCTTCTATCTGTGCAACTCCTTCAATCACCCCCTCCCCTGGGACCATTGCCCAATGGTGAAACATCAGTGTTACTGGTGAGGAGAGGGGGATGGGGGTGGGCGGGGGGAGGCATTGGGTCAGGGGAGGAGCTCAAGGGAGGAAGCGAAGAATGGACAGGCACCACATGAGGTGGTAGCTAAGTGCCTGGATTTCCCCCAGACTTCTCTTGCCTTTGGACTGTGCCCCACCAGTACTTCTGGTATCACACCACCCTGCAAGTCTCAGACCACATTGAAGATGGGATTGAGGTCCCCGTTCTACACCTCACCCTAGGCCTCTTCGCAGTCTGGATCTTCCTCTTCTTAATCATGATAGCAGGGATAAAGACTTCAATGTCTGTAAGCCCCCTGACCTATGGCCCACTACCTCTTCATCTTTCCAAAGATCCCCGGGCTTCTCGCCTCCACACAGTCTACCTCTTTCCTGTTGACTGATCTTTTCCAATTCCCATGGCTCCCCCACCTGCCTGGAGGACAAAATCAAATGTAGCCACCAGGATCTCTAGCAGAGGTCCCAAAGATAAGGCTGTATTCTCCTCAAGGAGCTGTGTCCGCAGCTCCTCTCTCACAAAGAACTGCTGTTTCCCATCAACAGCATGAAGGGACATCTTGTACTGGCCCAGCTTCCTGTCTGCCATCCCTCACACCTACATCACTGCTGCAGACACCTGTAGACCTTTCACACAGACCATGGCTCACCCCTGAGCCCCAACCTCTGCTTTGACAGTTCAGATTAACCCTCAACTAGCTGTTTGGCACCACTTCCTTTCCAGAGTATTTTCTGTTAATCCACTGTCCTGACATCTGAATCAGTCCCTGTACACAGAAAAGTGATCTCAGTGTGTTTTGGTTACTTCTGTCCTCATCTTCTGGTCCCTGCATCAGTGCAAACAGTCAGTCTTCACCTCACACATCCCTGGAGGCTCAACATGCCATCTCCTCACTACCTCTAAAATAAAGTACTCCTGTAGATGTGGGTGCCACTGTGGCTTTAGTGGAGCACAATGAGAGGAAGTGGTCCCAGAGTGAAACCTTAGAAATCCATAGTGACCATGCTACTTTCACCCAAAGTCTTACCTCAGTTTCTTTGCCTCTCCCTTCACCTCTGAGGTTCATCCACAGTCTTCAGTCCCAATGGCTCCTCTTCTTTTACCACTATTGTCCCTAATCTCACACATGGATCATTAATCCAAGATCAATGTCCAACTGCCCCAGCTTTTAAAAGCCTTCTCTATGTGGAGTCTTACCCCCCACCTCTGGGCAGCTTGTTGACAATAAACAATATTGTCCCTTGGAAGTATCTTCCCATAGCACCCCCTTATTCCTCCAGGCCACCTTTCTACCGCCCACCTCCTGGTTCTATTTCACTGACCTGGTCTCCTGCTAATGTTTGCTCTGTCTTCCCTCCTTTCCACTTCTCCTGAATGACTGGTTTCATCCTGACCCACCTGGCCAGATCCTGACTTTCTTGATATTCCTCCCCTACATCCTCCTCTTCTGCCTCTTCATTCGGAGTCTTTTCTTGGAAGGTGCAGGTGCCAGCCTCAAACGTCTGGTGACCACAGAGGTAAGGCTGGGGATTCCAAACTTTCTCCTTCCCTCAACTCCCAAGGCCTTTTCTGAGTCTTCTTCCACACCTCCTTTTCATCTGCCCCCAGCCTTTCTCCCTGTGTCCTCTACCCTAGCCTGCCCTCTGCCAACTCACTAGTGGTTCCACACTCTGAGCCCACTCCCAAACTCCCCTCACCCACTCCCATCCCACAGGTCTCTACCTTATCCTCACTGGACCTATGGCATCAGGCAGGAAGTCAAGTGCTCTATTCCTTGGGTCTGGGCATGGGCACCATCATCACTTTCTCCTCCTACAAAACTAGAGGTGACAACTGTGTCAAGATGGCCTCCTTTGTGGCCTTGATCAATGTGTTGACTTCTGTGCTGACCACATCCATCATCTTTGTAGTACTGGGGTTCTGGGCTACCACCAGTGGCCACGCCTGCGTTGAGAAGTGAGTAACACCTTGGTCTTGCAGTTACCAAGAAAGGGCTCCCTCCCGACCCTGGCAATCTGCAGTCCCTCAGCCCTCCTAACTCAAGCCCTCACCATTAACAACAACAACCTCACTTTTATTCTCAGAGAAAACAACTAAAAAGGGAATTCCAATATCCACTACCATAGAGAGAAGAAAAGTTTCAGACATGTGACTGTCCCCAGATTTCCATAAATTGCAAGTAGAATTAAGGAAGATCTCCAACTCAATTATTTAACTCACAAAGGAGGCTATCATAGCATTCTGGTGAGGTTTTTGTTTTGTTTTTTGCAGTACTTGAGTTTGAACTCAGGGCCTCACACTTGCTAGGCAAGTGCTCTACCACTTGAGCCACTCTGCCAGAAGCTTAAATTTTAATGTTTTGATACCTTAGAGACTCAAATAGGGGCTGGGAGTATAGCTGAATGGCAGAGCGCATGCTTGGCACATATGAGGCCCTGGATTTGATCCCCAGTACAAAGAAAAAGAAAAAAGAAAGAGGAGGAGAAAAGATAAAAGAATTTCAGATAAATCCACAAATATAGTTGGAAATTTCAAAACTTTATTAGGAATAAAAAAGGGATAATCACTGTAGAACTACCAACATTGAAAGAGCAACTAAATATTACGGTCAAATTTAAGCAAGTAAATTCAACAATTTAGGGGAAGTACACAAACTCCTTGAAAGATACAAGTTATCAAGACCCACACAGGAAGAAACAGAAAATCTAAACAGCACTATCTCTGAGTTTAAAAGTTAAACTTATGGGTAAGGGCATGGCTCAAGAGGCAGAGCATAATGTCCTGGGTTAAGTCCCCAGCACCACTAAAAAAAAAATTAAACTTATAATTTAAAGCCTTCCCACCAAAACAATTCTAGGCCTACATGGCTTCACTGGTAAATTCTTTTTCTTTCCCCCTCACTGGACACCAATCCAACAAAAACTCTTTCAAGTAATAAAGGAAGGGAAAATACTTTCCAACTCCCTTTTAAAATTTTTGTATTTTATTGGGTTGTTTTTGTTTTGTTTGGCAGTACTGAGGTTTGAACTCAGGGCCTCAAACTTGCTAGGCAGGCACTCAACCATTTGAGCCACTCTGCCGGTCTATTTTGTATTGGTATTTTTTTCGAGATGGGGTCTTGAGAACTGTTTCCCCGAGCTGGTCTTGAACCTCAGTCCTCCTGATCTCTGCCTCCTGAGTAGCTGGTATGTAAGTGTGAGCCAACGGTGCCTGGCACTCATCTTTATATTGGTGATATGTTGAAATAATATGTTGGATGTATTGTAGCCACTAGCATCCGGACACTAACTGCCTTTTTGAAGCCAGTGTAACTCCGATATCAAAACAGGAAAACAGCATTTTCAGAAAATTGTAGCCAATCATAATGGTGTGCTCCTGTAATCCCAATACTGAGGAAGTTGAAGCAAGAGGACAGAGTTCAGGACCAACCTAAGTGACATAACAAGTTTGAGACCAACCTGGGCTACATAGTAAAGGCTCTTTCTCAAAACCAAAACCAAAACAGAAAAGAAAAGAACATTACAAAATAATATCCTTCAGAAGTGAAAAAAATCATTCACAAAGTATCAGCAGTATTCAGAGTAACTGTATTTTAATCCCAGAATTTAACCAATTAATGTTACTCACTACATTAACAGGTTAAGGAGAATATTCTGAGGGGTTAGGATTTCATCACAGGAATGGAGTGGGAGACCAGAATACAAAATTTTCTGCCCATCAGTGTGACTCAGCCCAAGTCTACTCCATGAGCTTCCAGTCATCGTCCAGGTGCCCTGTTCCTGTGTGGCATGCATCTCGAGGAACTCTTCTCCCTGGTCCTCAATTTTTGTGATTTGCAGATTGCAGAGGGACCAGCCTGTTCTCCACCACTCTTCTGTCTCCTCTACTTCCCCTGCAGGAGTGTCTCAAGTCTGAAAAAGCTGATAGCCAAGGGGGTGCTGCCCCAGGAGGCCAAACCTCCAGAGAGCATCCTGCTCAAGCCCCCTCTGGACTACCTGGACTGGATCAGCCACCTCCCCAAATATCTGCAGCACAAGGGCATCCACCTCTCCCCATCCTGCAGCATCATGGAGCAGAAGGAGAAGGTGTGTTTGTGGGGGCAGAAGGGCGACCTCGTGGACCACCTATGCCTCCTTAGAGGCAGGTAACGGTGTTAATCACGACAGCAGGCCAGAGCCTTTCCTAGGTTGTTGCTCATACCAACCCTAGGAGGAAACTGAGGCCCAGTAGGTGAAGTTTATCCAGGTAACAAAACCAGGGAGCCAAACACTTGGCACTTTGCCCTCCAGTCCCCATGTCGTACCTCTTTCCTCTGCCTGAGGCAGAAGAGTAATCAATTACCATCCCTCCCCCCATCCTGGAGCCGACTGCCTCACAGCCTGTCATCCTTCCACACACATAGTTCATGGAGGGCCCCGGGCTGGCATTTGCAGCCTTCTCCCAAGCTGTCTCGCTGCTCCCTGGCACCCCTTTCTGGGCCATCACCTTCTTCCTGACTTTGGCCATCGTGAAGCTGAGCACCATGATCAGAATCGTGGAGAGCATTGCCTTTCCCCTCCAGAACGCCACCTCCTTCTTCATGAAGCACCCCAGGCTGGTCCCAGGTACCGCGGATTCTACCCCAACAAAAGCCCTGCCCTTCCCCTCCCAACTCACCCCAAATCTCCAGGCTTCGTGTGGCCTCCTAACCAAGCCCAACCAGAGCCCTCAGCATAGCCAAACCTGCCTCTGTCTTAGTGTTCGTCTGCTTGGGAGGTTTTCTGGGCAGCCTCATCTTCACCAGTCGCTCAGGCAGCTATGTAGTGTCCTTGTTTGATGACTACCTGGTCCCTATGATCCTCCTCATCATTGTGCTAGCCCAGAACGTGACTCTGGCCTGGATCTACGGAGTTGGAGGTAATTTCCAAGCCCCGGATCTGCCCAGCTATGGACCCCCCCTTCTGGGCCTATGAGGAAGATAGGAGCTTGTTGATCTCCCACAGCAGGAAGGGGGGGTCCATGTGAGAGCTGCAGGGGTTCGGTAAGGAGTATGGTGACCCCTGGGCAGTGGGCAGGTCCTATGGGGACGAGCAGTCACAGACTGTTCTGAAGGCAGAAGACGGGTGTTACAGTCCCCTGGATCAAGAAATTCCCATGGAGGAGGCCCAGCTCCCAGGGAGGGGCTGAAAGCCATTAAGAGTTGGGAGCCTGTTAGAAATTCAAGGGTGAGAAGACCCACCCTTGTCAGGGCCCCAGGCCCCAGACATCCATGACCTGACTACCCTAGGTTCAGGCAGGAGATGCTTAGCAAGCTGGACCGCCTGCTGTGGCCAACCTTCCTGTTCCTGTGTAGCTACGTGACGCCACCTGGGCTGCTGGCTCTCCTCAGCTTCATCTTTATGCACCTCTACCGCAAAGGGGCCCCTTACTACATTTCCTGGAACAGCAGTGTGGTGAGACAACCCCCACCCTGCCATCCATCCACTCCAGGAATCCCTTGTCACTTGTGCCACCCACAGGACTCCAAACCTTGGTTCCCTTTAAACAGTTTCCCAGCCCCCTGGGGAATCCCACACCCAATAGCACATGGACTGAAAGCCCACCACCCACACCTTCTCCCCCTACCCTGTGCCCACTCTCTGCCCCCAGAGCCAGGAAGTAAAACAACCCTACCTGAGAAGCGTCCTGTGGCGGACCACCTTCTTCAGCACCCTTCCTCTACTGCTGCTCCTGGCCCACCCGCTGCACCACTGGTGGCACTTAGAAACGCGACTGTCCAAAATGATGCCCCACAAGTCCTTAAAGTGGCCCCAAAAGAAACCCAATGTCATTGTCCAGGATCATGTCAACAAAATGCTATCAAGGGAGATCGGCCTTCCAACTCTGAAGAGGAGCATTGAGGACTCTTCCTGGTCCAACATGCTTCTGTCACACTCAGCAGACAAGGCTGCAACTCCACAGCAAGTGAAGCCATCCTCCTTAGCCGTGGACAAGAGTGGGGGGTATGGGGATCCCATGAAAAAGCAGCTGCCAGGTAACCCTGCTCAGTAGCGAGAGCTGCTGGCTGCATAGGTGCCCATCTGCCACGGGAACAACTGGTTATGCCAAAAAGGAACGGGAAGGACATAGGGAAAACTCACCTGATGACTGGTGACAACTTGGGACATCCCAGGCAACCCAGGAGCTCTTTCTTCTCCTGGAATAGTGCCAATCATGCCAAGCAGGCCACTCCCCTGGAGAGATGGAAGAAGAAATCAACCTGATTGCTCACAGGCCGGTCCTAGGGTCCTCTTTCTTCCTGAGAAATGGGGCACCATTTTGGTGTGGTCAGAATGGGCGTCCCAGAACTTTCCAGGATCCAACCTGGAAAGAGACCGTGCTCTCTCCAGCCCCTGCTCCCACCACCAAGTGAGTCAGTGGTGTGGCTCAGTTCAGGGATGCCCTCAGAATGGGGATGAGATCGATCAATAAATGTGTCCACGGGACTGAAGCACAGGTTGTGGCCACACGTTGTCTGTGACAAGATATTGTTGTTAAAGCAAAATATTAGGAAAGCCCATGCAATTCTGCTTATATGAGTTTTCCTACTTTGTCTGTGTTTGAAATTTTACCATAATAAAAAGTTACATTTAATGCTGGGCACCAGTGGCTCATGACTGTAATCCCAGCTACTTGGGAGGCTGAGATCTGGAGGATCGAGGTTTGAGGCCAGCCTGGGAAAATAGTTCACAAGACCCCATCTCCAAAATAACCAGAGCAAAATTGGACTGGAGGTGTTGCTCAAACAGTAGAAGGCTTGCTTTGCAAGTGCCAAGCCCGGATTTCAAACCCCAGTCCCATAAAAAAAAAGTTACATTTAACATTTTTAAAATGAAAAACCTCGGTTGGCAGAGTGGCTCAAATGGTAGAGCTCCTGCCTAGCATGAGGCTCTAAGTTCAAACCCCAGTACCACCAAAAAAGTAAATAAATAAAAATAAAAAAGAATAAAAAAAGAAAAGCCCCTTGGCACAGCTCCTCCCCCCACGTGCTCTCACAGACCTCTTCCTCTCCTGCCTGAACAAGCAACCCGGCCTGAGCCTCTGGTCTCGCTCCTCCAGGCCACCTGCAAATGACTCAGGGCCGCTCTGTCCCTCTCTTGCTCACAGCCCTCCCATGGTTCCCCATGTCCCAGGGCCACTTCCCAACTTCTCCACTGTGACCCCATCCAATCTGTTCAGCTTCCTCTTGAACCTCTTATGCAGTCATCCCCCACACTGCAGCCACAGGAAGCCACCAGAGGCCACAGGCCACACTTATAAGCAAGTTCCTGCTTGGGATCTTTGCACATATGCAGCTCCCTCCGCCTGGACCTGCCCTTCCATCTTTCTCCATCTGCTCAGTCCTCACATGCACTTTTCCAGAGAGTCACCAAGGCAGTTAGCCTCCTTCTCAGAGCCTCCAAACATCAGTTCATAAATTTTTTTTTTTTTTGGTGGTTCTGGGGTTTGAACTCAGGGCCTCATGCTTGCAAGGCAGGTGTTTTACCACTTGAGCCACTGTGCCAGCTTATGCATTTATTTAAATAAGAATATTAAGCATATTCACAACTAGAAAAGGGACAGACAAAAAAATGCCTGTAATCCCAGCTACTCAAGAGGCAGAGATCAGGAGGATCACAGTTCGAAGCCAGCCCAGGCAAATAGTTCACTGAGACCCTATCTCGAAAACATCCAATATAAAAACAGGGCAGGCACATTGGCTGGACAGTAAGAGTGCCTAGCAAGTGAGGCCCTGAGTTCCAGCCCCAGTGCTGCCCACCAAAAAAGTGGAAAGGCCTACAGGAAAGACACAGACCAGCAATGGTTGGCAAACTCCTCGTGGACGAGTACCAGGCCACTGTCCAGTCCCACAAAGACCCAGAAATGTGCCTGACCCGCCTCCCCCTTAGCCAGCCTCGGTCTTTCCAGCAACACGTGCCACTCAAGTTCAAGGGCACTGGCGAGAGCAAGGGTAGAGGCAGGGGTGGGGAGGAAGACACAGATAAGGCTCCAAATGGGTTCTTGAGCAAAGAAAGTGCCGTTCGGCGGCTTTTCTTCTTACCCAGTCTTCTCAAAACTATTTCCACAGTCTGCCCTAAGACTAAGTTCAATAAGCCAAATACGTGATTCTGCTCATTATAATAAGGAGTTCCTAATGCTCAGAAAGCAGCCCCATCTTCCCTCCAGCTTCTTCTCATCTCAGCCTCTGCAATGCCGCCCTTCCCGGCTCCTGGTGCTTGTCCCCGGATGCAGGCAGTCAGAGGAAGCATGCAGCACACTGGGCAGCTAAGGCTCCAAAGGGGGAAGAAGACCCAGAAAGTACCAGGAAGAGGGAGGGGACCGGGAAAGTGAGACTGAGAGCTTCCTATGATTTCCTGGACTTGCTCCGAGACACATGGGTGTGGATCTGAGCTGGGGCAGCAGCCACAGCTCTGAGAAGGCAGTTCAGGGATCAGTGCTGCCCAGGTACCAGACTGGCCAGTGGGAAGAAACATGGAAGAAACATCAGAAAAGCACCAGTGTGCGGGGGAGGGAAGGGAGGATCCGTGGCAGAGCCCCAGCTCGCCTAGCTGCCTAGCTGTACCCTGGGTTCCATCAGCAGCATGAGGAAGGACGGAGAGGAGGAAAGAGAGGGAGGAGGGGAGGGGACAAAGAAGAGAAGAGAAAGAATAGAAGGAAGAAGGGAGGGAGAAGGAAGGGGGCGGGAAGGAGGAGGGAGAAAGAAAAGAAAAGAAAAAAGAAAAGAAGGAAGGGAGGAGAAGGAGGGAGGAAAGGAAAGAAAGAAAGATGAAGGAAGGAAGGAGGAAGAAAAAAGAAAGAAAATAAAAGGCTGGTGCCAGTGGCTCACGCCTGTAACCCCAGCTACTCAGAGCCAGCGATCAGGAGGATCATGATTCAAAGCCAGCCCAGGCAAATAGTTCCGGGAGCCCCTATCCCGAAAAAGCCCTTTACAAAAAAAGGGCTGGTGGAGTGGCTCAAGGTGTAGGTGAGTTCAAATCCCAGCACTGCAAAAAAAAAAAAAAAAAAAAAAAGCACTGACCTGAAATCAGACCTGACTTTGAAACCACAACCCACACAGGCTGCTCAGAGCCTGGGGCCTGACCAAACCATACCATTGACCTGTCAAAACAAAACTCAGCGCAAGAGTTAACAAGGCCCAAAGCCTCATAACCTAAAATTCAAAATGTCCAGGACACAACCCAAAATGACTCAGAACAAAAGAATCAAGAACATTGCAACTGACATGAGAAGATATAATCAACAAGGTGCAAGATGACACCAGTGTCGTCGTTCAGTGACAAAGACTTGAAATGTTCTGTCTCACTGACATTATGGTGGATGGCACGAGAGGTCACTGGATTGATCGGCTTGGAAGTGAGTTGCTTCACTCAGGTGAACACCACTCGAGCCACGTCCCCTCTGCGCCAGCAGCTGGGTGATGCAGGCGGCAAGACGGGCTCTACCTCCAGTGGGTGAGCAGCCAGCTCTCTCTCGCTCTCTCTCGCTCTGTTGGAGTCTCAGCCCAGGGACTGGGAACAGAGACTTGCCTCATCTCTCACAAGCAATGCTGAGGAAGGAGCCATCAGGGCCCCACTGTCACAACACAGCTGCAAGACACCTGGAGAGGACAATGCCCATCTCAAACCTACCTCCTCTTAACTTCTGGCAACTTTCACGCCAGCATCACCTGGTGCTCCTTCAGTCACTCTGGGTCACCAGATCACCAGAAACTACAACAAAAACACTTACTTCCATTTGTTTCATTCTGCTTTTTTTTTTTTTTTTGGTACTGGGGCTTGAACTCAGGGCCTACACCTTGACCCACTCCACCAGCATTTTTTTTTTTTTGTGGTGTGTTTTTTATTTGCCTGGGCTGACTTCAAACCGTGATCTTCCTGATCTGCGTTTCCTGAGTAGCTTGGATTACAGACATAAGCCACCAGCGCCAGCTTCATTCTACATTTAATTAAGACTACTTTTGACAGGACTCAAGCAGCAGGATGAGGTTGACCTTGAGTGTTGACCTCAACCATGCTCCAAAGGGCTGAGATTTGGCCAAATGTAAGTTATTCCGACGCTAGTCCATTGCCCGTTACAACCTACACAAGACGTTTAGACCGACCTAACCTTTCACGTCATTACCAGTAATTCCAGGGTGATGATGGATGGGCCCACCTCCCCTCCCTGGTGGACACCCCATGGCTCCCCTTCCCAACGTATTCACACGTAGCCTGGAAAGATAGTCACTCCAGATTTTGTTTGTTTTTGCAGTGCTGGGGATCGAACCCAGGGCCTCACGCATGCCAGGCCATCCAGTTTTGTTTGAACTTGACTTGGATGACCTTACATTCTCTTTGTTGAGCAGTTTCAGCTAAGATAGGAGGCAGCCCGATCTTTCTGCATAGGACCGGATAATATTTTGGGTTTTGCAGGACATATGGGCTCTGGTGCATATTCATTTTTTTATATATAAAACTCTTTATAAAATAAAAAACCTTTCTTAGCTTGTGGGCCATAAAAAAACAGGTCATGGGCTAGATTTCTCCCACCAGCCGTATCTTGCTGATGCTTGATCTAGGCTATGTGAGTCCAACAAGAAAGTTCTGACTAAACCAGACTTTGTTATTTTGCTTTGAAGGTCTTTTTTGTGGCACTGGGCCTCATGCTTGCTAGGCAAGTGCTCTACCGCTTGAGCCAGCCGGCTAATGCTTTTTTGGGTTAGGCATTTTCGAGATAGGGTCTCTCGAACTATTTCCCCGGGCTGGCTTCGTGAACCGCAATCCTCCCGATCTCTTCCTTCTGAGTAGCTAGGATTACAGCCGTTAGCCACCGGCTCAACGCTAAAATTGAGTTTGAGTCCTCTACTGGATCCCTTTGGGGGCCAGGCCGCCCAGAGGAGAGAAGGTGCATCACTCCCAAGAATGGCCTAAATCAGAGCAGGTCAGCGTCCCTCCCGCTCAGTTAGTGTCCAAGAAGCAGCCAAGAGGAGATGACAGCCATATGAAGTGACAAGTGGCCTGACGAAGGCGTGTGGGCCATGTGGTGAGGCAGGGGGAGTGTCCCATGCATCAGTGCAGATGCCCGCGGGGGGCACAGGAAAGCAGAAAGTCCCGCCGACACCCGGACGGCAGCTGCGTCCAGGCTCCAGCACTGGCGCTGGCCTTGGGCGGCGGCTGCCCCCTAGCGGACACTGCCTGTCCTTACCATGGCCGAACGCGACCGTAATCTAAGGGAATCTGAATTCAGGGCCCAGACCGCTGCACTGCTGCAGGCGGAGGAGCGGCCACGGTTTTCTCCGAAAATGTACCGGCTATCCCCTGCAAACGGAGGTGATGGAGCCGGGCGTGGTGGTTCACCACTGTAATCCCAGCACGCAGGAGGGTCAGGAGTTCGAGGCCCTGGAGAGGGAGGGAGAGAGAGAGAAAGAGAGAGGGAGGATCAGAGCAGCACATGCCATCTGCGTTACCTACATTGAGCCATTTCCGAGCTACCCTCAAATGGGAATGCGAGGCCGGGAATCAAAGTCCTCGACGGTCAGCCATTTCCTTTTAGGGAATTCGATCCAGCGCGGCACAGCGGCCGCTTCTCGGAAGGCGTGTGCCTGGCGGTGCGTCCCGCAGGTGGCGCTGCGGCCCTGGGAAAGGGCCCGACTCCCGCAGCCACCGTCATGAAAGCCGCGGTTTCCTTCCTCACTCCTGGGATGCCAGTTGTTCCTGGTGAACTACGTGAAGAGGCCCGCCCATGCGACAGTCCCTGATACTTACGGGACATTCACAGCAGCAGCCGCTGGGGGCTGGATGCCAGTGACGTCTCCGATCTCTAGTGGAAGCCATCATCGCAGAAACTGAACAGCCCGGAGGGGCAGGACTGGAACTGCAACTGCGGCCACCAGGGGGCGCTAGCCCGCGCGGGCAGCTAGCTGGGGACAATGGCCTTTCTCCCCTTGGCTCCTCCCTCGAGGATCAGCTCCAGAACTGCACGGCCTGTGGCTTCCAGTACCCAGCAAGTCCATGGGCCACGAACTCCCACCCACCCCCGCTTCCAGCCCTCCACACCTTGTCCCCTGCTCTCAGCTGCGGGGCTGGTCCAAGTCAGGCTGTGACAGGGGCCAGGAGCACTGGCAGGCCGCGCTCTGCACTGATGTTTCCTGTCCACCCACCACTCGGACTCGGGCACCACTGATTTCAGCTTCAGAGACCACAGCCACAATGCCTTCTGCCTGGGCCTCTTGGTCATGGTAGCAATTAATTCTTCCCCCGCCTGCCTGGAAGGACGGAGGGACGCAGGCCCCATCTGCTCTACTTGTTCTAGTCACTCTGTCCGTTAGCAGCTGGGACAGTGGACACTTACTCCCTGCCCTGCCCTGCCTTCCAGCAGGAATGGAGCCAGACCCATGAAGTCCTCGCCCTTCCTACTCCAGCAAGCATGTCTTTTTCAAAATCTCATCCTTGCCATCACTACCAAGTCAGGGATTTGATTTTACTCTGCTTACGAGTCAGCCTGTTACTGTCGCACGGATGGTGCCAGGAGACACGAGACTCCTGGGTCAGAGACAATGGATCTGATCACTCACCGCCCAGCCAGCAGCACAAGCAACAATTCCTCTGGACTCCAGAGCCTCACAGGGGCCACTTGTCTGCACATCTGTGATTCTGTGGGGTCTGGAGAGGGCAAGAAGGCAAGAAACGCCAGTGCAGAGCTGGACACAAAAGGATCCTTGCTAAGGGACTCCCACTCGGCTCTGGCCATCTGTCTGGCCATTTGTTAGAGTGGTTCAGTGAAACTTTGTATGTGGGATTTGCCGCCTCCAAGATCCAAAAACTTTGTGACTTGCTGAGCTGCCTCTGGAGTGTGAAGCGTCCAGGTCAGCTGTTGTCTCTATGCTAGTAAATGTCTCTGTAGCCACAGGAAGTCCTCACCATGGCACCTGGAGAGCAGGGCCTTCAGTTTTGTCTTCCTTCGAGGCCACCTCCCCATAGTCAGCCATGAGTAGACGTCAGGCAGTGCAAATCAAGCAGTAGAGGCCATTACTAGAAAGTCACTCCTAGGCTGGGCACAGGGCTCACATCTATAATATCAGCAACTCAGGATGTGGAAATCAGGAGGATTGTGATTTTAGGCCAGCCCAGTCAAAATGTTAGCAAGACTCCATCTCAATCTATAAGCCAGGTATAGTGGTACACTCCTGTAGTCTCTGCTATGTGGGAAGCCATAAGTAGGAGGATTGCGGTCTGGGGTCAGACCCAGGCCAAAATTTCAGAACTACCTGACATGTAACTAAAGCAAAAAGGGCTGGGGACATGGCTCAAGAGGTGGGGCATCTGCCTAGCAAGTTCAAGGCCCTGAATTCGAACCCCAGTACCAAGAAAAAAAATCTATTCCTTCCAAAGAAAATGCACAAATAGCCAAAAATACATGAAAAGATGCCCACTGTCACTCATCATTAGGTACTGCAAATCAATTTCCTGACAAAACTAAATGTTACAAAAAACTGGTGCTACGGTGGAGAGATTAGAATTCCCATACATCGCTGGTGAGAATGCAAAAACGGTCCAGCCTCCATGTAACAGATTTTGGCAGTTCTTCATACAGCAAAGCCTAGCCAAGTGCTGTGGCTCACGCCTGTAATTTCAGCTATTCAGGAGGCAGAGATCAGGAGGATGATGGTTCAAAGCCAGCCCAGGCAAACAGTTTGACAGACCCTATCTCAAAAAACCCCATCACAAAAATAAGGCTGGTGGAATGGCCCTGAGTTCAAACCCCAGTACCACACACACACACACACACACACACACACACACACAGAGCAAAGCCTAGATTTGACCCAGTCATTGCACTCTTAGGTATACATCCACAGAATGGAAAACAGGTGTCTAAATAAAAACCTATGTACAGTGTTCATAGCAAGATTGCTCACAACATTCAAAAGTTAGAAACAACCCAAATGTCCAGTAACAGGGGAGTAGATTAAACACACTGTGGTATTTCCAGACAAAGGAGTATTATTTTGCCATAAAAATGGATGATATTTTGATGTTTGATGCAATGTACATAAACCTTAAAAACATTATGCTGATGAACTGGGCACCACTGGCTCACACTTTTAATCCTAGCTACTTGGAAGGCTGAGATCCAGAGGACAGAGGTTTGAGACCAGCCCTGGCAAATAGTTCTTGAGATCCCCATTACCAAAATAACCAGAACAAAATGGACTGGATGTATGGCTCAAGTGGTACAGTGCCTGCTTTGCAAGTGCAGAGCCCTGAGTTCAAACCCCAGTCCCACAAAGAAAAGGTTGAAATGTGTGTAGCAGTCTGATGAAGTCTTATCCCAGGGACAAGTTCAGTAGCCCAAGCAAAGGAAGAAGGATCCAAGCCTTCTTCCTCCTCCAGTCGCCAAGCTCCCTCTAGTGCCCCCTTCAGGGAACGCTCAGTAGACAAAGGTGAGTTGGAATTTGAGACAGTGGCTTAAACCCAGGCCTGAACTGCGGTGGCTTTTCAGC